TGAATCTATCCCAAAGCTTATGTTTCAGCCTATGCACTGGAGAAAACAAGCCTTTGTACACTGGGGAGCAAACATGGCCCTATAATAAACACACAGTTATTTCACAGCAGTGTCTTGTGATTACTTAACCTCTGAGCCCAGGGCTGGTCCCAGGGCCGGCTCCAGCATTTCTGCCGCCCCAAGAAAAAAAAAAAAAAAAAAGCCGTGACCGCGATCGACGGTGGCAAATGGAAAAAAAAAAAAGCCGCGATCGGTGGCAGCACTTCGCTCCTAGAGGGAGTGAGGGACCTGTCGCCCCCAAATTGCCACAGGTGCTGCCCCTCTCCCTTGGCCGCCCCAAGAACCTGCTTGTTAAGCTGGTGCCTGGAGCCGGCCCTGGCTGGTCCAGTGAGATGCAACAGATTGAGGGAAAATACATGCAACGAGTGCATGTGAGCTTGTCTGCCCCCTAGTGGCTGGCCCTTGCCACTACAACAGCTGGCTGAGCTGCTCTTCTAGCTCTTCAAACAGTAGTAATAACGGTATGTAGCACTTAGTGCTTTTTATTAGCAGATTCAAAGTGCTGTATCATTATCCCTGTATAAAGTTGGGGAAACTGAGGAACAGAGAGGGGAAAATGACTTACTCAAGATCACCCAGCAGCAGAGCCAGGTCTTCTAAGTGACAGGGCAACACTCAGTCCTTTAGGCCACATGGCACTGGGCATCAGTGGGTCGACTGGCTGCTTCCAGCTGCCTTCTCCGTGTCTGCCCCATTATCCTGTCTCTAGACACCCATAATGCTCAATCCCCATCGCTGTAAATTCCAAATACTTTCCTTATTGGGAGGCTCTGCGGTGAGAAAGCTCCATAGACGGAGAAGCTGTGAGGTGAAGCTTTCTCTGTAGTGCTGTCCCCTTGGCCCCAGTGGGTTGCCAATATTCAGGGTCTTATAGAGTTCTTTCCATTAGCAGGAGAAATTGATGATACAGACAGTTATGTTCCTGGAAGGGTTTCATAGATTCACAGAGTTTGAAGTCAGAAGGGCCCATTATATAATCTAGTCTGATTCCCTGTACGGGGAATAACATGTGTTTGGCTAAAGCAACTTCCTGCAAGGCAGCCAGTCTGGATTTGGAGACATCACGCAATGGAGAATCCACCACTCGCCTCAGGAGTTTGTTCCAATGGCTAATCATCCGCACTGGGAAACACTGTTGCCTCTAATTGGAATATGTCTGGCTTTAACTTCCAGCCATTGGTTCTTGTTCTACCTTTCTCGCTAGGCTGAAAAGGCCTTTAGTACCTGGGATTTTCTCCCCATGAAGGTCCTTGTACACTGTGGTCAAGTCACCTCTCAATCTTCTTTTCCTTGAGAAGCTAAACAGAATGAGCTGCCCAGGTCTCTCACTGTCAGGCATCTTCTCCAGCCCTCAAATCGTTTCTCTGGCTCTCAGCTGCACCCTCACCAGTTTTTCAACATCCTTTCAAGAATGTGCGCACCAGAGGCAGTATTCCACTCTGGGTCTCACCAATGCCTTATACAGAGGTAAAATCTCCTCCCTGCTCCTACTCACTACTCCCCAGTTTATACAACTAAGAATCGCATTGGCCCTTTAAGCCCCAGCATCGCACCTGGAGCTCATGATATAATCTAGTTTATTCACAAAGAATGCACACAGTCCTGTTTCCCCGAGCACAGAAGAAAATAACAACAGCCAACAGTTTCCCTGCTCAGAAATCCCCAAGTCTGCCCCACCAACAGGCTCTGTGCCCAAGAAGCCCTGTCTCTCTGCGTCCTCTCAGGCTCCCACAACTGTTTCTGGCTTCCTGCCTCAAGCACACTCAGGCTGCAAAACCAACCTCCTAGCCCCTGTGTCTGCAACCCGGGAAACCCCTCAGCAGGCAGGGTGTAGCTCTGGGCTTCCAGACGGGGTCACTTCATTCTTTGTAGCTGGCTCTACTGTATAAAGG